ACTTCAAGGCATGTACATCTAATTGTTTAACCCTAATTATCTCAAAATCTTTATATTCCCGAATTCGGATTCCAACAATTGCTAACAACATCGTCAGCCTAAAATTGAGAATTGCTGAAAACCCAAATTCCATAATTGGTACAGAAAAAACAATTTCTAATTTCGCTTCTTCAAAAATACGAAAAAATCAAATTCTAAAACAATTGAATCAATTTGAGAGAAAACCATAAAAGCATATTCAATATTTGTGTAATATTGAGAAAATTTAGTAGAAAGCTAAGAGAAAGCTCTCTTACAGCATCTTCAAATATACAAATCTCCATTTTTCAAGCTGAGTTAATGAAAACTAAGACCATCATGGCGTACATCGTCAAAGAAAGAGATCTTAGAGGAGATCACAATTGAAAATCGAAGACGAAAAGATTAGAGATGGAGAGATCGAATTTAAGAGGACATCTCGAGTTGACGGCGATTTGAGAAGGAGATTTCAAGATCTAAAAAAGTCAATATAAAAAGTTAAGATAAAATGAGTCAAATGATAATATGAGAATATAGAAAAAGTAGTGGCATACTTGTAAAGATTTTTAAACAGTGACAGTTTTGAAAAGTAGCATACTTTTATTACGGTTAACGGTTTAAAATTGACATTTGACCAATAATTTGAATTTATCCTAGTGGTAAGAGATCTCAAATTAATTCAATAAATACCAAATTAGACGAAACTATGTTGAACCGTAAACGGAAAATTTATTCTGATTACGATTTTGTTGGAGTTGGCAATTTCAAAAAATATTATGTAGTAAATTCAAATATATCGATAGTTTGTGTGTTTTTTTGGTATCGGTTAATAAGTCGTGTATAAATAATCATGAATTGCTTAATTCATAGAAGAATAAGCCATATATATTTGGATAGTAGAAACAAAGAGTGAACCATGCGAACCAGAGCGATAAAAAGAGACCTGCAAGTTAAAACAATTCACTTAAACAAACCCCGAAAAATAGTCCAAGTAACAAACTAGAAAGAGCAGAAACACGTTGATCGAAAACAATCCAAAAAAAAAAATCCAAACAAGAATTAAGGCGAAGGAATGACCAAGATATATATAGACGTCAAGAATGGTTATTGACATATTTTTTTTGGCATCTAAAAGATATATATAGAAGATCAACGTTAGACTTACACAAGATCGATCTAATCAAGTGGCATAGCTGAAAAAACAAACCCACAAAGGGAACAAAAAACCAACATAACCCTCCCACATGTACAAAGTCATAACCAAAAAAATTCCAAAGGCTGCTACCAAAAAACTGTAGACACAATGGTTATTGACATATATTATTTTGTTATGATTCCAGAAAAATGGATTTTATTATGCAAAAATAGAAGGAATAGAAAAAGAGACAAGTTGGTTTTGGCGAAAGGAAAAGAGCCAACTTAATTTTCTTCTTGTGCTCTCTCTACGCATTTAACGCTGACGAAGTTGAAGAAGCACGACGACTCTGGACTCTCGCCTTGCAGATTTCTTGATGCGAGGTTCATCATCTCCTCTATTGTAATCAATCTCTTGTCTCAAGTTTTTCTCTGGTGAGTATTCTCCGTCGTTTTTTCCCGACCGATCTCTGGTTCCTTGTACAGCTGATGGATTTCCAGTTCGATTTGTTGACTTCTTTGTACATAATTTTTTCAATTAGATAGGATAAGATACTCTGATTGGGTTTTTTGATGCTTCTGTTTCGCTGCTGATTTCAATTTCTCCGTGGGTTTGGTTGGGTGCTTCTAAGTTGTAGCCTTGAAATCTACTACCTTTAGGGTTTCCTTACTGGAATTCACACTGTTGGTGTTTAGTTTCAGGCAATTTGAAGATTCTTGCCATTCATCAGCGCTCTTCTACTTAAGATTCGTATGGGAGAAAGTAA